AATGTTCTAATAAGTCTCTTCAGGAATCAGGTTGTCATTGGATTAGTAAAGAAGGTGTGTCCCTCAACTGCTGGATGAAAGGTGCTGATTGCTGTGACATGGTATCCAAATACCAGGCCTTGAATTGTAGAGATCCTAATCTGGGATGCCTGGTTGTAGCATTGCATTGCATTAGTAGATCCTGAAATGATTGGATGTTGATAGGCGGATGGGTTGAAATCCTGAGGCAATCCAAGAATCAGAACTTTCTTGGTCAGCTGGGCACTATAAGGATGAACTGAGCCTTGTTGTGACAAATCTTTCGGAAGACTTGTGATATTAGCGAGATGAGAGGGAAGGCATATTTGAGATGTCCTGTCCAGGGTAGCAGAATCCATCATCCTTTGAGCCTCAGCCCAGAGCTGCTCTGGAGCAGTACAGGGGGGAGTTTCTAGTTAGCCTGTGAAGTGAGGAGGTCTCAAAGGCAGCATTCCCCAATGGGTGAAGATCTTGTTCAGGACAGAGTTGTAAAACTCCCATTTGTGGTCTGTGGAAAAATGCCTGCTGAGACTGTTTGCTAGGGATTTCTGTGCACTTGGAAGGCATGCTGCTGAGAGAGTTATGTGGTTACTGTTACACCAATTTCAGAGGTGGACTGTCTCTACACACAGGGAAAGGGATCTCATTCTGTGTTTATCGAGAAGACAGTAGTCATATTGTCCAACATTATCTGGAAATATTGGGACTGGATGAGTGGAAGGAATGTATTGCATGCGGAATACACTGTTCTTAATTCCAGTAAATTGAGATGCATTCTGGCCTCCAGAGGGATCCAAGTTCCTTGTGATTAACCATATGGGCTCCCCAAACTAAGAGGGAAGCATCTGTAATGATGCTCACTTTGGGTGTCAGTGTGAGAGAAGGAACTCCAACCTGAACCTTTTCTGGGTTTGCAAGAGAGACTGTAACATTGATTGTAACCTGTTACTCTGGCACTGATGTTGTCTTTGTCTGATGAGTAGACAGACTGAAGCCAGGCTTATAGGCAACAGAGATGGAGCCTAGCAAATGGTGTAACTAGATGCATGAGGCCATATGGCCTAAAAGGGAAAAGCAAACCCTGACTGTAGTCCGAAGTCTGAGGGTGACCTGCTTTATCAAATCAATCGGGGTGTAGAATCTCTCCATCGGGAGATAGGCTCTTGCTGCAGTTGAGTCCAAGGTCACACCTACAAAATCTCTAGTCCTTGTGGGAGTGAAAGTGGATTTTTTTGTGGCTGACACAGATTCCCAAGGAAGACAATAGGCAGAGTAGGAATATGGTCACCAACTGGACTTTCCTGATGGATCTGCCCATCAGGAGCCAGTCATCAAGGTATGGAAAAACAGTAAAAGCTGTTTCTTCTCACTCAAGCTGCAACCACTGAAAAAGATTTCTGTAAAAGACCCTGGGTACCATATCTAGCTCAAATGGGAGGATTCTGAATTGGTAATGATCTTGCATAAGGAAGAACCTGAAGAACCTTCCGTAGGATAGGTGCATGTCTATGTGAAACTAAGCGTCTTTCATGTCAAAAGCCACAAACTGTGTGTCCTCTTCCAGAGGGGAAAATTTTTGATCCCAGTGTGACCATACAGAATTTTAATTTTTTGATTAAATACATTTAATTGGCATAGGTCAAGAATCAGTCTCCATCCTCCGTTCTTTCTGGGGACTAGGAAATATGGGAGAAAAATCCCCTCCTCTGATGTTGAAGTGGCAAGAGGTGCACCTCTTGATGTAGGATTTCCTTATGAGATTAGTCCGTGAAAAGGGGCTGGGAAGGGGGTTTGTGGTAAGAGGTAAAAAAAAAAAACTCGATCAAATAGCCAGAGTAAATAATTTTCAGCACTCACTTGTCTGTTATTGCCCCTCAATTGCAGGCAAAGCGGGAAATGTGGTCACCAAAAATCTGGGAGGTAGAAGAGTAAGGCATCAATTCAGGAACGCGGATCTCAAAAATCCTGTCAAAAGAAAACCTTCGGCTGTGGCTTGGGGTGCGGTGTATCAACCGATGTTGAGGAAACTACATACCTCAGTCTCTGTACCCTCTGTCATTTTCACGGTGGCACTGATGACAAAACAGTTGATGGGTAGTCTTTTTCTGTACTTCTGTTTGTGATGCTCTCTCTTTGGGGCAGATGTATAGATACTCAAAGATAAAGGTTTTCAAGCCTTTAAGAGAATGAAGAAACTGATCAGTCTTTTCATTAAAATAGTTAACTGAATCAGAGGTCAGGTCTTCAATGGTACTTTGTACCGCTCCAGGAAAATTTGTGGACTGCAAATCAGGATCGTCTCCTCATAGCCACAATAGCCATCGCTCTGGAAGCAGTATCAGCAGCATCTACAGCCTGAAGAGATGTTTTGGCTAGAGATTTACCCTAATCAATTAAGTTCTGGAATTGGATTCTATCCTAAAAGACTCTGTCTTTGAATTCTAAGAACTTCACATAATTGATGAAATTATATTTTGCTAAGAGGCCCTCGTAATTAGCAATCCTGAATTGAAGACTTGTGTAGGAGAAAGCTTTTCTCCATATGAGGTTGAGGCACCTTTGTTCAAAGGTGTTATATGTTGGGGCTGTTGCAGCCTGGACCTGTCAGTGGCTGCTTGTACCACCAGAGAGTTCGGTGCTGGGATGTCAGATCAAAAACACCTGTAGGTAAAACGAAATAGTGCTTCTCAGCCATCTTTGAGGTGGGACCATAGGCGGTGAAAAAGTGTGCCACGCTACTCTGTCTGGGTCTATAATGGCCTCATTGACCAGGAACACAAGGGTTCTAATATGTCCAACGGTTTATGTTGAGACTCTTGAATCTCTTCAAGCTGGATCCAGAACTCAGGCACCACTCAAAGTAAGAGCTCCTGATACTGCCTGTGATCATCAGGCAGAGATAGCGAAGATGGGGTGACCGCCTGATTGGGAGAAGATGATAAAATAGCTGACAGATGTGGCTCCACTTCCTCCTCCTCATACTCAACAGAACCTGTTGGTGTCAGCTAGGAGAGGGCAGAAGAGGTTCATGCATGAATCTGTGGTGCCTAGATTAAGGATCCCACTAATGCCAGTAGAAGAGGTCAACTAGTTGGGGCAGACCCCATTGCATTGGAACCATCGGTCTCTTGGAAAGTCATACCTGAGTGGACAACAGAATCCCAATCTCCTGGAGCTTCCATCCAGGCTTGCTCCTCATGCAGGAATAGAGGCTCATCTGGGGCCTCCAACTCATCCAATGAGAAGGTTGGTTCTCAACTGACCAGTGGAACCATTAGTACCAATGTATGGGTACTCAGTTCTGCAGATGGAAGACTATCTTACTCTGGTGCAGTGGTTCTCAACTTATTTATAATTGTGGGCCGACTATGCGGCCCACAGTGTGTTACCTGGGTCGCAGGGGCCAGGTGGCAGGGCAGCGGCCCCCCGGAGCTTGCAGGGTCCACCAGCTGCCCCAACCCCGGACCTTATGGGGTTGGCCGGGCAGCCTAGACCCCCCTCGTGCTGGGCAGCCAAGAACCCGGACCTCACCTTGTGGGCCAGCCTTCAGCACACAGCTGAGCTGGGCCGCAGCTGTGTTCCAATTGGGCTGCATGCGGCCCACGGGTTGAGAACTGCTGCTCTGGTATAATGTCTCTAAATAAGAATGGTCCCGAAAGAAGAGGGGATTGAAGGTACAGGAGAGCAAAAACATCCCTTGGGAAGATGTACGTCTCAGACCACCCTGTGATGTACAGTGAACTGGTGGTAACAGCAGTCAGATCAGACACTTCCCTGGTTGCAGCAGATGTCAAATCCCTCTGGGGCCTTGTTGGTACCAGCACAGAGTCTCATCTGGATGTTAAAGATAATGTCAGTGGAGGTCTTTTTTCTGGTTTATACACTTGATCAAAGATTGGAACCGATGGGTCCTTACTCCTGCACGTTGCATTTTCCTGCTGGGGAGGTTTACGAAGACTTAAGTCCTTAGGACCATGTGTGAGGACTTCTCTGACTTGGGAAGGGTTGGAAAGGGATCTTTTCTCTTCAGGACAGATTTAGAGTAGGATCTGTCTCTGTGCTTGTGAGTGTCACTTACTGTCATGAGAAGCCTTGGACTCTAAGCTTGGAAGTTGTAGCCTCAGCTCCTGAGGTCACACTCACAGGGGTGCTACCTCTTGACTGAGGCCGATGTCGTGATCCAACTGGGGTCTAATGGCTTTTTCCATTGGCTGTTTTTTTCCCCACTGAGTCTGAGCTCTCAACCCTCACACAGTCAGGGAGGGGAGTAGCAGCAGATGCTGTACTCAGTGGAGAAGTGAGCATTACCAAGGCACTAAAGGCAGTGTTAGTGTTTGTCACTCGCTGGAAAGGAGCAGGGGCAAGAAATTCAATTCTTAAACCCTGGGACTGTAGGCATAGTCCTTGCCCTCAGGGGAGAACTTCCCCATGGTGGGGAGAGAACTAAAGCTACACTTTCCTAAGTACTAAAAGTTATAAATCTAAGAGTGAAATTCTAAAATACTAATTAGAAGCAACAATAGGCGAAGCTGTGGACACAGAAGATTGAATGAGACCATGCACTAGTAAAAAGGAATTGGAGAGGTGTCAGTCCACACTGCCTCTTATACTCTCAGTTTGGAGCACAAGGAGAACAGCTGTGCACATGCAGGCCAGAGGACACCGCTTACTAAAAATCTCCGAACTCAGGCGGATGGTGTGCATGCAGACCATCCCTCAAAGAAGAAACTCGTTTCTTACAGAGTTTCATAACTGACTAGTACATATATAAAATCAAGATGTGCCTTGTTTGATGAGATAAAATACGGTTAAAACATTTCATTCGATTCCAGATTTTATATGCAAGAATGTTAGTTTCAAAGCACCTGCAAGGCTGCAAATTGGAGAACTATAAAAATATTCTCAGGGTCTTTACTGTTCATTGAAACATTCAGTATATATGACATATTTTAATAAGTTTATTAAATTTTCTTATTACCCACCTGACATATTTTCCCTTTTTCTTCGCTGCAGCAGCACTGCCCTTTCTTTATCTAAACTTCTGCATAAAAAAAAATTTTCAGAACAGTTTAGTCAACACATCAGAACATTTCTAAGTGGTTGAACCTAGGTATGAAATGCTGCCAAACCTTAGACACTTAGACAATTACAGTAACCAGTATACACACTTATTATTTATTCTGCAATTGTCAGTAGGTGGATGCTGTAATGCATAAAAATGAAGTTGGTTCACTGTTCCATTATGCAACAATACGATCTGTGCATAATAGTATCCAAAAGTGCCACTCTCATCTAACTCACTTGAGAAGGTAGCAAATGTTGTATCCATATTTAAAAGAGGTTCTAAGTTGATCCATGGAATTACAGACCAATAAGCCTTGCATCTTTAAATGGGAAATTGGTCAAAACAACTATTAAAAATGGAATAACTAAAACACCTGAAAGATCATGATGTGATTGGGTTCAATCAGCAGTTCTGGCAATGGAAAATCATGTCTCACTAACCAGAATTCTTTGAACATGTCAGTAAAATAGTGGAGAAAGCAGAACCACTTGACATAATTTATTTAGTCTTTCAAAAGGCTTTTGACAAGATCCCTCAAAAGAAACTTGAAGAAATTAGGATGTAAAGGGGGTCAAAAGAGTTCAAGATAAAAAGGAAGCAAAAATTCTTAAACATTTCAGAAATGCCAAATCTGGTTTTCCATGGTTTTGCTGAAGAACCACCAGGTCTAACTGTATGTTCATTATAAGCTCTACCATTTATCTGATGGGGTGGAGGTGTTGAGTTTTTAAGACATACTTTATTCATAAGTTTAGTCAGTCATGAAAGTTGAATAGGTGTTAACAAAACAGTTTTGGCTGTCTCAAAAATTTCCTCCCAATCTCAATTGTTCTGTTTTTATCACCTTGACTTTTGTGATACAGCTCCCTAGTTCTCCAGTTACCATGGACACTTCAGGCTACATTCACAAGGGACTTGGGTACCTACATCCAACATTTAGATGCCAATGGCATTCACAAAACCACTGCTCAGCTGCTACCTAACCCTGTAGGAACTTAAAGTCCTAGGTGGATACGTTACCACCAGTAAAGTCCTCAAGATGCTTAAACTTCAGCAGCTGGGCCTGCACAAAGCAGCCTAAGTCCTGGCACCACTCAGCAGCTCAATGCTTAATTCATGCCTATGCTCTAGTGGTATTCACAAACTTGGTGTTCCCTTGCCTATCTTACCTTAACGGCCCAATCCGCAAGGCAAACTCAGAGCAAGCCCAACCCAAACACAAGACAGAAATGGTGCTGGTGCCCTGCAATAGCCCAGTGGTTACAGTATTCACCCAGGATATATGAAACCCAGGTTCAAATCCCTACTCTACCTGATGTGGAGCAGGGATTTGAACCCAAGTCTCCCACCTCCTAGTTGACTGCCCTAACCACTTGGCTAAGGGGTATTCTGTGGTGAAGCTCTCAATATGCCTGCTGAAGTTGTTCCTCTTTATAGAAAATACTTGAACACTCACTGGAGAAAGGGGACTGGAACCTGGGTTTCCCAACTCCCACATGAGGGCCCTAACCACTGAGCTATAGAGTCACTCATTTTCTCTCTGGCCCAATTAATATTTAAATTATTTATTCACAGTGGAACAGTTCCAACAGGAGAGACTGAGATCCCCAGCCCGGAATAACCCATAACCCAGAGGTTAGGGCACTCATCTGGAAGTGAGAGACCTGGTTCAAGTCCCTACTTAACCCTCTCCTCTGCATTTCCCACTGCTAACTTAGGCAGCTCTCCACTCAGCATAATGGCTTTTGTGAATCCCCTTCTTAGGCACCTAACTCTCCCTAGGCATTATATAAGGAATACGGGTGTGTAACTTGGGTTTGTAAATTCAACTGGACAGCAGGTCACCAAAAAGTTAAGTGCTCTAATGCTAACCATTGCAACACCTAAATTCCCCTTGTGAATCTAGCCCTTCCAGCCTGGAAAGGAACTGAATTACCAATGTAATAAAAAAAAAAAATTAAAAACACAACAAAAACCCATATCCCACATACAGGCACAAACCCCGTCCCCTCCTTTAAAAAATGAAAAAGCCTCAGAACTATTTCATATACAAGAAGAAAAAAAGCCTGATTTCTTCCCCCACTCCCTTCAAAGCCTTTTGTGAGAACTTTGAAAAACCTTTTGCAAGTCCAAATAAATTAGATTTATCATATCTCCTCCTCTTATCCACCATTTTGGGGTGACATGATTTACTTTTTACAAAAGCTGTGCAGGTTTGTACGTATCATAGCACATTTCTTTCATTATTCCCTCAACCAACATACTTGAACTGAAATAGGACTCATTGTTCTTTAATTCCCATGTCACAGGGTGAGTTGGCCCTTAAAGAAGGTTGGTCAGCTGTACCTGTGCCATGAATACTTGCCATACTGCTCAGCTTAAGATGGGGGTAAAGGACACTTTCTGTTGTTGGCAAAGAGTCCTGTGGCACCTTACAGACTAACAGAGGTATTGGAGCATAAGCTTTCGTGGGTGAATACCCACTTCGTTGGATGCATGTAGTGGAAATTTCCAGAGGCAGGTATAAATACGCAAGCAAGAATCAGGTTAGGGATAAGGACGTTAGTTCAATCAGGGAGGATGAGGCCCTCTTCTAGCAGTTGAGGTGTGAACACCAAGGAAAGAGAAACTGCTTTTGTAGTTGGCGAGCCATTCACAGTCTTTGTTTAATCCTGAGCTGATGGTGTCAAATTTGCAAATGAACTGAAGCTCAGCAGTTTCTCTTTGAAGTCTGGTCATGAAGTTTTTTTGAAGCAGGATGGCTACCTTTAAATCTGCTATTGTGTGTCCAGGGAGATTGAAGTGTTCTCCTATAGGTTTTTGTACATTGCCACTCCTAATATCTGATTTGTGTCCATTTATCCTTTTATGTTGGGACTGTCCAGTTTGGGCGATGTACATAGCAGAGGGGCAAAGAGAAACTGCTGAGCTTCAGTTCATTTGCAAATTTGACACCATCAGCTCAGGATTAAACAAAGACTGTGAATGGCTAACCAACCACAAAAGCTGTTTCTCCTTCCTTGGTGTTCACACCTCAACTGCTAGAAGAGGGCCTAATCCTCCCTGATTGAACTAACCTCCTTATCCCTAGCCTGACTCTTGCTTGTGTATTTATACCTGCCTCTGGAAATTTCCACTACATGCATCCGAAGAAGAGGGTATTCACCCACAAAAGCTTATGCTCCAATACGTCTTAGTCTATAAGGTGCCACAGGACTCCTTTGCCGCTTTTACAGATTCAGACTAACATGGCTACCCCTCTGATACTTTCTGTTGTTTGCACTCGATACCTAGAAAGGGCTCATGACTTGACTGGAGGGCTAAATCACCTTAGCAGCCAAACCGTGGTGGGAGAACCACAACAGCTAACAGATCCAGAATCGTAGCAGGTATGCTCCTGCTATACTCCTGGATCACCCTCAGTAATGGTAGTTCTAACATTCGCTATCTTCCAACTAACTAATACAATTTCATATTTGTTACCCATTGTTAGGTTTATGCCATCTAGTCCTAGTGACTTGTTGCCCCTTGATTTATCAGCTTTTCCAGCATCTCCTCTTAAAACTTCAGTTTGACAATTTCTGATCTTTATTACCTGAAAAGAGAAGGTATTTTCCTACTCCATTCTCTGTAGTGAAGACTGAGCCAAAGAAATAACAATGGATGAGGTGTCTAATTAGTTGTTTTACTTCCAGATGACCTAGCAACAGACGCAATTCTCTTTCAAGTTTTCTGCTTAATACTTCAAGAATTTTAATTGTTAACACATGTGGTATGCTTCTTTATAACACAGAAACCTGCTTGCTACTTTGTGATCAACTCACTTTCAATAAAATTAACATATTTAAAAGGCAACTTTTATTCATGTTATAGTCTCTAAATATTTTAGTTAAGAGTTTAAAATTGTACGCACACACCATTATTAGCCATTTGCTACTCACCTAGGTTGACAACGTTCACACAGATATATATCAGGAATATGCTGCCTGTCGATCCCCATGCAGTCAATGTGCTGCCAAACACTGAAAAAAATAAAGATTCCACATGTATAGTCTTCTGAAATTAATGCATTTAAGACTGACACATCTTTAGTGACCACGGCACACTGGACATGTTTGGTCAAAAGAAACGGTTACTTAATGTAACAGTGATTCTTCAAGATGTGATGCAGACATGTATTCCACTTAGGTGTGTGCGCAACCAGCCCATTGGAGCTGGAGAATTTTGCCTAGCCATATCCATAGAGGGTCGACACTCATGCCTTGTGTCCACAGCCTCTCCCCTGGCTATATGAGGCGGCGCTGCCCCAGTTGCCCTCCTGCCAGGTTCCTTCACACAGAATGCCCAAAAACTAAACTACAATGCAGACGGAGAGTGAGTCATGGAATACATGTCTACATCACATCTCAAAGAACCACAGTTACAGGAAGTGACTGTTTCTTCTTTGAACAGATGCAGCCATGTATTCCACTTAGGTGACTCACAAGCAGTACCCACCCTGGGAAGGAGGGCTCCAAGTCTACCTAAAGAAGGATTGCAGGACTGCCCTACCAAAACTTGCATCCGCCTTGAAAGATGCAGTAAAGGAATAATGGTTCATAAATGTATGGATGGATGACCATTTAGCAGCCCTGAAAATGTCCAGTATTGAGATGTCACTGAGGAACACTACTGATGTTGTTTTAGCTCTCATAGAATGAGCTCGCACCTGCTGAGGAGGCATAGCTGAAGCTATTTCATATACAGTTTTGATACAGGATGTTATTCATTTTGAGACAGTCTGTGAAAGGACTGCTTGATCCTTCATACAATCTGCATATGATATAAAGAGGCGAGGCAAGGCAAAGCACGAAATGGTTTAGTCCTGTCCAGAAAGAAGGCCAGACATCGCCTATCATCTAATGTATGGAGACGCTGTTGCTCCGGAGATGAATGTCACTTATGAGAGAATATGGGTAAATACACAGCCTGGTTAAAATAAAACTGAGAAACCACTTCACAACCACGTCCAAAATTTTTGTCTAAAGTCACTTTGCCCATAGAAAACTGTGGATAAGGAGGCCCTGCCATTAGAGCCTGCAACTCACATAATCTTCTGCTGGATATTATTGCTACTAGGAATGCAGTTTTCAGCCAGAAAAGCAGAAACAGACAAGATTCCACATGCTTGAAAGTAGGTCCTATTAAAGCCATTAGTACCACACTAACTTCCACAGAAGAACAAGCTCTCAGACTGGAGAATGGAGACAAAAGTAGTCCTTTTAAGAATCTTGCTACCATGTTATTGAAGACTACCAATCTTCCCTGAAGAGGGGAATGAAACAGTATCGCTGCTAGATGCGCTTTCAATGAGTTAAACACAAGTCCCGACAACCTGAAAGCATAGCAGGTACTCCAAGATGTCCTGGATAGAAGCCAGTGTTGGCTGAATTCCATGGGCCAATGACCACACCAAAAACAGCTTCCATTTCACTGACAAGGCCATTCTGATAGAGATCTTTCTACTTTTGAGTAGGATCTGCTAAACAGCCACCAAACACTGCTCTTTTCTCCTCATTTAGCCACAAAGTACCGACACCATGAGATGCAGGGAGCTGAGAACGGGATGCAATGTGTGACCGTGATTCTGTGTGAGCAGTTTGGGATGGACAGTAAAGGGCACAGGAGGTTGAACTGACAGCAAAAGTCAGAGAACCAGCACTGCCTCAGACACACTGGGGAAATGAGAATGAGCTTGGCCCGATCTGCCTTCATCTTGAGACTGACCAGTGGGATGACTGGGATTGGGGAAAAGAGTACAAGAGAGCCAAGTGCCAGCTGAGACAGAAAGAGTTGGACAGGAGCCCAGTCTAAGGCCCCCCTTGAGAGCAGAACAGGTGACATTTCCTGTTGTCCCTCACAGCAAACAAGATGATCATCAGAATGCCCCAATTTGCAAAGATGACCCAGAAGACACTTGTCTTCAGACCACTTGTGACTCAGGAAGAAATTCATGCTGAGACGGTCTGTGAGATGACTCTGGAATCCAGGCAAGCAGTTGGCTATCAGCGTAATGCTCTCCTCAATGCAAAACTGCCACAACCTGAATGCCTCTTGGCAGAGCATCCTGGAGCGTGCTTCCCCCCTGGCTTGTTCACATAATACATTGCAGTGATATTATCAGAAAGTATGTGAACCACTGAGACCCTGAAACAGTCCAGAAAAGCATTGCATAAATTGTAGATGACCCGAAGCTCCACCATGTTGATATGCAGTGAGGACTTCTGCTCTGACCACAGACTTAACTTTCAGTGACCCCAGGTGTGCTCCCCAACCCATTAGGGAGGCATCGGCAACAGCAGACCTAGTTGGCAAAGGCCAGATGAAGGGAACACACTGGCAAATGTTCTCTAGACCATGTCCACCACTGCAAGGAGCCCATGAATAGTTGGGAAGGCAGACGAATCTGTCCAAGGGGTGAAGAGTTGGATGATAAACCATCCTGAGCCACATTTGCAGGGGGCAGAGGTGCAACCTTGCAAACTGGACCACCTGTGTGCAAGTGGACATGTGGCCCAGGAGCCCCAGGCACATCCGAACTGTCATGGAAGGCTGAGACTGCAGTCTGCGGCAAAATGTGGTAAATCACCTGAAAACAGTCAGTCAGCAGAAAAGCTCTTGAACTTGTTAAGTCTATTAGGGCCCAGTGAACTCGATTTTCTGAGTGGGAACCAAAGCTGACTTCCCAGTGTTTAGGATAAGAACCAGATGGTCAAGCAAGCACAGTACAGTGTCGATATGAGAAAGAGCTTCCTCTCTGTACCTGCCCCTCAGTAACGAGTCATCCAGATACAGGAAGATTTGGATTCTTTTCCTCCTAAGATACACCATCACGATAACCATTCACGGAGTCTTTTCTCTGAATGATCTGCAAATCGAACACCGCTTCTTGATGTAGGCTTCACTTAGGCACAGCAAGCACCACATTGTGATCACTACCCCACATGACAGACTATGTTTAAACCCTGGTGAGGGTATCACCAAGGAAATACTTAAATTACAGCTAACACATACTAAATCTAACTAAGACTATACTAAGGGTACTAATTAACTATATCCAACTAGAAAAGTCAATAAATAGAGGGACTGAGATGAAAACCACACAGAGCTCTGACTCCAGCCACAGGTGGTAAGAAGTAACAGAGGGGACCTGGGCAGCGATGCCTCATATATCCAAGGGAGCAGGTATGGCCACAATGCACTAGTGCTGCCCCTCTATGGGTACTGCTATGCAAAGTTCTCCAGCTCCATTGCGCTGAGCATGCACACATCTAAGTGGAATACACGGCTGTATCTACTCAAAGAAGAGGCACATTTCCAAAGTCATTTTCTATATGGCTTGTGCTATCCTGAAAACAACACATAAATTGATTTCTCTGAACTACCACCCTACCCCACTCCCACTACCTGACTACTTATTTTACATTCCACTGATCTGATCCCTCTGCATTTCCATCCCAGTAGCTGTTTCTTCATTCGCACTGCTCCCTCAGCCACATTTGTCCTCTACAAAATGCTCCTCCTTCAGCACTTTAAAAATATAAGAAGCATAAGTGTTATTAGAACCGCCAGAGGGTAAGACATTGCACTGAAACTAAGTGAATGTTGCAGCAGAGAACAATTTTTAGTAAATTCATTAGTCCATCTCAGCAGGGCTTGATAGCAATGTCCTTATAACACAACATGTTTTTTTAAATTGTTCTTAAAACATTCCCTTGTCAAGTGTTACACGTAATATTCACTGTTAACAGAAATGTTTATTTTATCAACCTAAATACTGTACACTAAAACTAGTGTGCTAATATTTTGCTTGAGATATTATAAACACACTACCCAGAACATGAAAGTATGCCTTCCAAAAGAACTAGACCAGGGGTCTCAAGAAATATTTTGGTGGCCTCAGAGTGAGGCCACCAACTCTTGCTGATGGCTGCTCTGACAATTTTTCCTAACTACTTCATTGATCTTAGGAAAAACAAATAAATATGCACATATATACATGTCCAAATCATAATTTAAGTAGATTTTTATTGCAGACTCAATAATAAAAATAATATACAGTTGTCTCTATTCTTTACTGGACCTAAACAAAATCGGAACAAATAAAGTGCTTTGCAGATTCTTGTCTTCTGTGGTTGTTTCTTTCGCTTTTTGGGTTGCCTTTTTTTTTTAAAAAAAAAATTTACTAGCTAGTAAGTCCATTTCTGTGAAAAGTGGTAGTTGTATGTTTGTTTCCCCACCGCTACCTCTCCCTGCCGCCATCACTGCCCAGGAGGCTGTGGATGCATGAAAAGCCCCTCGTGACTGCATGCAGCCACAGTCGCCGCATTTGAGAAACGCTGGACTAGACTGAATTTAATGAGTAATGTGAATGGCCTGCAAAAAAAGTCCCACTACTGACAAAAGAGTAGACTCTTCAATATTTACAATGGAGCAGCCAGACACAAAATAGCAACCTGGAACAAAGTGTGAAACTCTTTCCTTCCTTGAACTTCTATTTTGCCGGTTAAGACAGTTACATGGCCTATAATGGACTTGAAAGAGCCTCTGTTTTGATGGCGGTTCCCCTACCCTAAAATTGAATGTAATCTAAAGTAATTAGCCATTTCAAAAACTGCTTACTACTACAGTTTGATTAAAAAATAAAAACATGTACGTATGTATTAACATTTTAATTCATATAAAATATTTTACCTGCATTTATCACAACAGATCATGTATCCATCATCATGGGTAAAACCACAAATGCACCTGGTAATATCAGTTCCATAGCTTCCATCTTCTGATGTGCTGATGGTAGTAGCACTGGAAGTTTCATCAAAATTGGGAGTGGTAAATATGCCTACTTCATTCTTGCTGATAAGAACTGATGGAGGAGGAGATGCTGGAGGTGTTGGAGGAGGACGAGCACCATAGTTATGGTCCTGGATGATTTTTTGAAAAACCCACAGTTATCTTGACATGTAACCAATATTCATTTTCAAACTCCTCAGAAGGATTCCTACACCCACTTTTGTTTGGAAGTCAGGTTTCTAAATTCATAGCCAGAATGAAAACACTCAAAAACAGAAGCCCAAAGTTATGCTCCTAAATTCACGTTTAAACACCTACATAATGCCCTACACACTTCAAAAATGCTGTGATTCCAGCAGCTCCCATCAAACTTTTTAAACTAAGACCAGTTATGCAGGTGCCTAGATATCTAAATCCACATTTAACTTTACACAAACAAGAAAAGGGAGATAAAGCAGCTTGAAAAATAAATGTCTGTTTATATACCAATATCAAATCACTCCGGAAGCACTAGTTGCAAAAGCTAGATTTTACTACTACTGCATCAGCAGCAGTATTGAACATTGCCGATATAGGCTCTATATCAGAGGTGGTCAAACTACAGCCTACGGGCCATATCCGGCTCACAGGACCGTCATACCCAGCTCCTGAGCTCCCAGCCGGAGAGGTTAGCCAATCCCCGGTCCCTCCCCTGCTGTCCCCACTCCCCCACAGCCTCAGCTTGCCGCGCTACTAGCGCACTCTGGCCCGCCATTCCTGCCGGGCAGCATGGCAGGCTCCGGCCAGGCGGCGGGGCTGCGAGCTCCTGCTGCTCTGAGCGGCTTGGTAAGGGGGCAGGGAGCAGTTCGATGGGGCAGAGGTTCTGGGGAGGAGCGGTCAGGGGACAGGGGGTGGTTGGATAGGTGTGGGAGTCCCAGAGGGGGTGGAGGGTGGGGGCCTGTCAGGGGGCAGGGGTGTGGATAGGGGTTGGGGCAGTCAGGGGACAGGGAGCAGGGGGGTTGGATGGAGATGGGGTCGGGGGGGGTTAAGGGATTGGGGGGTCCCAGGAGGGGGCGGTCAGGGGACAAGGAGCAGGGGGTTGGATGGGTCAGGGGTTCTGAGGGGGCAGTCGGGTCGGGAAGCAGAAGAGGGCGGGGGCCAGGCTGTTTGGGAAGGCAAACCTTTCCTACCTGGCCCTCCATACAGTTTTGCAACCCCGATATGGTCCTCAGGCCAAAAAGTTTGCTCATCCCTGCTCTATATACATCCACTCAGAAGCTCATTTGAGCAAAGCAATGTTTATTCAATAGAAAAGAACAACCGGAATGGAAAGTTTTTAAGATTCCAAGCATTACAAACAGTAAAAGAGCATTAAACAGAACTCTAAAAAGTATGCTTGTCTTTTTGTATATCTGGCTTTTAAGTAACCCCATTCTTCCCCTGTCCACACACAATAAGGAACTTTAAATATGCCTCAAAACTATTTGATTAAAAAAGTTGGAACCTCACACAAATACTCTAAGCTTTTAAACTTACCGCATAAGGCAAACCAATGTAACTGTGAGAGTGATGAGAACTGCTGGTATATAACTGGTGTGGATAACTGTTTGATTTTTCAACTACCACAGGGCTAGCTTCTACAGATTCTGGTCTGAAAAGCAAGATGTACACCATTACATACAATATTTCATATGTATTTGCTTTTACTTGTATTTTTTTCATTTTATAAACAAGTATTTACATTTTGTTCCTGTTAGAAAGTAAAAAGACCCATTTTCATAAGAAGTGGCCCCAAAGGAAGCATAAAATACATATCACCAAGAAAGAAGTTTCTAGAACATGAGACATATAGCTCAAATGGATCTTTGACATATGAGATCTTGTTATAGGCATTAGCTGCAAGTAAATTCTGCAGCAGTTCAGACACCCTGAGCATAAAACTTGATTTATCATTAGAAAAGGCTGTACAATACCACATAATCGTATAAAGTGACTGCAAGAAGAGGCACATTAGCATCATTAATAACGATAGAAGCAACAAGGGACAATACATATGAAACTACAGAAGTCTATCAATATATTTGTATCACTACCCGCAACTTAATGAAGTTCCACAATGACATCTAGTGAGAACATCAGTGCAGTGCCAATAACCTCCTATAGAGATCTGTGGTGCCAATCAGGTTCCACAACAGTTTTTGACTGGGAAGGAAAGAACATGCACAGAGTAAATAAAAAAAATAAGGCACTTGATATTCAAAACAAAATTGGAAGAAAAATTAAAAGGCGATATTACTAAAGAAAAAATTGCAAAAAACGAGAAAAGAATGTAGAAAGAGGGAAAGTGTGAAAAGAAATAGTAACAGGATATTTGATTGCTTTTTCCTAGAAGTTTTATAATATTTATAGACACACAAGTATGAGAGCTAGATTTTTTGGCCCTACTTATGGAATTGCCCAACAAGTTAATTCTGACCTTATTACATATTGGCAGTAACTTATTACTTATTCATCATTTCATCTAGGGGCCCCATACCACTGGGGCAAATTTCAAAGGAACTTGGAGCTCACAAATGAAACTTCTACATGACAGCAAATCACTGCCAGGGCCAGCCAGGGCAAGGTGCCGACTCATAAATAACAAAAAACAATCTTCGTCTGCTACTATTCTCTAAGAAGTTCACAAAAGTTTTTCTTATTCCCAACAATTAAAATGAAAATTCAATGAACTCTAACATACTGATCATCCAAAAGGAGTCTAGTGATATGTATGTTTAAAAAATTATTTAACAAAACATGGATTCAGGGTACTTAAAGCTAGTTTGGAGGGTTGTGTGTTTTGTTTTGTTTTTAAACAAATATTCATATTGTGAAAAGAACAGGAGTACTTGAGGCACCTTAGAGACTAACACATTTTATTAGAGCATAAGCTTTCGTTGGCTACAGCCCACTTCATCGGGTGCATAGAATGGAACATATAGTAAGAAGATTTATATTATATATTTATTTTTCATACAGATAAGTTGGAAGTTACCATACAAACTGTGAGAGGCTAATTAGTTAAGATGAGCTAAAAACTTTTGTAGTGATAATCAAGATGACCCATTTAGACAGTTGACAAGAAGTTGTGAGGATACTTAACTTAGGGAAACAGATTCAATATGTGTAATGACCCAATTCATATTGTGCATATTTTTTCCTCTGGTTTAATTTGTAATTACAAATTATTAACAGAAAATAATACTATATATACACACACTTTTTTTGCTCTATGCCATGAAAAGAAGAGTTCTACAAAGTTTTGTTAGAGGAACACTGACTACTTAAGTCACACTTCTGTATTATTTTAACCTTTTGTAATAAAACAGTCATTTTCTCTCATCTTTATGTTTTTTCTAAAAGATATGCTCTAGGAATAATTTTGGGGACATTCCATGGCCTGTGTTATACAGGTCAGGCGAGATGATCATCGTAGTCCCTTCTGACCTGAGTATCTATGACTATATTCATTTGTTTACTTCATGAATTTGAGAGAACTTTTCACCTTATGTATAGTTACTTGGTTAGTCACTTTCCCTTTATGCAAGCAGGTTTTCCACACAGGAACAGAGAAAAGCAAAAAAAACACAAAAGAGTAAAGTTTGTATAGCCACAAAAAATTAGAAGGGGACTTTAGGATAAAGGGAGATTAGAATATTGTACAGCTTTCATAGACTGTAAATTCTTCAGTGTAGGACTGTCTACTGCTCTGTGTATTCCGCAGAACCAAGTCTATCATCAACAGTACACAATCACACAGGAACCATGTAAATATTTGAAAACACTTAGATCAAAGTTCTTTCAGAACTTCCACATCTATCTTTAAAACACACAAATACTGTATCTCCTCAGCTACACCAAAGTTTTCTTTTAAAAGTAATGACAATTGAACTGAATATTTTTCACAGAATAACGGACTCTTGCTACTACATACTGCTGAGAATTGAAAAAAAATGTGTTAAGGAAGAATACAAACATTTCCTAAGTGGAAGATATTTACTCTATGACATACCTTCTATTACAATAACTTTCTAGTCACTAAAAAGAAAAGGAGTACTTGTGGCACCTTAGATATGAACAAATTTATTTGAGCATAAGCTTTCATGAGCTGCAGCTCGCTTCATTGGATGCATGCAGAGGAAAATCTCCCCACTGTATTTTCCACTGCATGCATCCAATGAAGCGAGCTGTAGCTCACAAAAGCTTATGCTCAAATAAATTTGTTAGTCTCTAAGGTGCCACACATACTCCTTTTCTTTTTGTGGATACAGACTAACAGGGCTGCTACTCTGAAACCTTTGTAGTCACTGACTGCCTTTTCATTTTGGGAAGGGAATGATGAAAAAGGTTGTTCGGTAAAGAAACCAGCGGGAGCAGCAGTGGTCCTCAACCTTTTCTATACAATGTAACAGAAGCATCTGGGGGCATCCCTCCCCCATCTGGGGAATTGTAATCTCCCATCCTCCCTAGGTTCATGAACCCAGGTTCTAGAAAGAAAACAAATTTGAAAAGGTATGTCAGATTCTCCACTATCCTCATAATGTCATGTTGAAGGTACAATGTTTTCTGGTTGGGGTCCTACTGCAATGGAAATAATACTAATCCTGAAGATCTGGATACTCAAAGCTCTGATGCACAAGGAGTGGATATTTGCCCAGTACAGCCCAGCTAAGTTTCCAGAATTTCTAGTCACTTTCATATCCTTCCCTCCCAATTCAAGAGACTGCTGTCCATCCCCTAAGGTTTCCTAGCAGAATATTTTTAATGCTTTTTGAAAGTGAAAGGAGGTAGCATGCCTATCCTGTTTTCCACTAAATAGTGCATTTTTCCCAGGGATTATTTGGATCTTATTCGTTTTCCCTAGTAACTGGAGAACTATTTGGTCTAACAGGCAATCTGAGTACCAAAACTCCCTGGAAAAAAATATTTTAATATGCAGTCTACATTTCAGTAATGCTAAAGTTTATTACAGAAACTTTTCTTTGTTAGATACCATTATTGTGAGTTGTAAAAATGTCAAGTTCTTAAATGTGAGATAATTCAATGAAAGATACTGATAATAGTATATACTTAATCAAAAGACCTTAACAGCCTAACCACCAAAATGTCCTGCTCTACCTTACAATATATACCCTGAAGGTGGCAGTTTGTGCATTCCACACAATCAAATTGGAGTCCAAAGAGTAACTGGGCTTCGCAAGGGATTTGAAGTGCTCTTTAAATTCAGACAATAAATCCCACTTTCTGTAAGTGTTGGCTACTTATTGTAGTTCTTTGGGGATAATTGGTGGACTTGGCTTCCATTATGTGACTGTCCTGATAACAAGCATCCATATAATCACACAAAACAGTGGAAAGCAGCAACTACCAAAGTAAAAACATGAAAGTTAAAAACCAAAGAAAACAAAGAAATCCAAGTGTTATTGTTACCCATTTTAAGGCTGTGACTATTCCTATGGATTTAGGTTAGATAATTCACATGTTTAAAGTGCAGCATGTATGTAAGTGACTGGAGAATAAGGGACTAAGTTTCACATGGGACAGAACAAGAGAGGGTGATACAGTAGTAGGGAGTGGATGCAATGTGCAAAGTCAAGAATCACATCAATGAAGTGAGTAAGGAGTATGTACTTCGTGAAGGTTCACTAAATTTTTTAAAAATACTGGATTTCAAGGACTCTTATTGTGGGTATCTTGCAAAAACTTGAGTTTTCAAGAGGAAAAGGGTCAAAAGAACGTATGACTTGGCATTCCTCACTTGGGAACTTGTTCTTGATATCAAAGATGTGCACTTGAGGCACTGTATTTAGAAATATTTTGAACAGGCCCCATTCTGTAGCTTCACAGTACCATACATCTGTCCTGACCCACCAAGACGATACATTTAAAAAAAAAGCCTACTCCTGGTATTTATAAACAATGGAATCATCTTATTTTTACTGTTTACTTCCCTAGTACTTAGGGACATTCGAACTTCACAACTGAAACTTCTTGTAATTTTTCCGAGTAGCAGCCGTGTTAGTCTGTATTCGCAAAAAGAAAAGGAGTACTTGTGGCACCTTAGAGACTAACCAATTTATTTGAGCATAAGCTTTTGTGAGCTACAGCTCACTTCATCGGATGCATTCAGTGGAAAATACAGCGAGGAGATTTATGTACACAGAGAACATGAAACAATGTGTGTTCCCATATATACTCACGAGAGTGATCAGGTAAGGTGAGCTATTACCAGCAGGAGAGAGAGGGGAAAAAAAAACCTTTTGTAGTGATAATCAAGGTGGGCCACTTCCAGCAGTTGACAAGAACATCTGAGGAACAGTGAGGAGTGCGGGGGGGAATAAACATGGGGAAATAGTTTTAGTTTGTGTAATGATCCATACCACTCCAAGTCTCCATTCAAGCCTAAGTTAATTGTATCCAGTCTGCAAATTAATTCCAATTCAGCAGTCTCTCGTTGGAATCTGTTTTTGAAGTTTTTTTGTTGAAGAATTGAGACTTTTAGGTCTGTAATTGAGTGACCAGAGAGATTGAAGTGTTCTCCGACTGGTTTTTGAATGTTATAATTCTTGATGTCTGATTTGTGTCCATTTATTCTTTTACGTAGAGACTGTC